AATTTTCAGTGCACAGATCTTGAACATCTTCTGCCAAATCTCTTCCTAAGTACTTCATATTATGCTGCAATTAAAAATGGTTCTGATTTTCAATTTCTGTTTGTTCATTGCTAGTATACAGAGATAGGGATAGTTTTGGGCATTCATTGTGGACCTTGAAACCCTGCAAATTCATTTATTACTTATAGTAGCTTTTTTTATAATAGAGTTTTCACCAGGTTTTCTACATAGACAACATAGACAATTATGCTGTCTGTGAAAACACTTTTACTTCTTCCTTTCCAATCTGGACAACTTTTACTGTTTGTCATTTTTTTATTTTTTATCCTTATTATAGCAGCTAGGACTCCAGGACAATGTTTAATAGAAGTGGTAAGAATAAACATCACTGTCTTGATCCTAGTTTTAGGGGAAAAAGCTTTTAGCATGATGTTAGCTTTTTATCTCGTGTGTGTGTGTGTGTACATACACATACTCTTTATCACATTGAAGAAGTTCTTTTTTATCCCTAGTTCATTGAGAATCTTTATCAAGAACGGATGTTGCAATTTTGTCAAATGCTTTTACTGCATCCTTTGAGGTGATTGTATATTTTCTCTTTTTCAGTTTTTTTTAAGATTTTATTTATTTATTTTACAGAGAGAGGAAAAGAGGGGGAAAGAGGGACACTGAAGTGCAAGAGAGATATTGATTGTTTGTCTCTGGCAAGCCCCCAACTGGGAACCCAGCCTGCAACCCACAAATGTGCTACGATCAGGAATCAAACCAGCAACCTCAGTCTGTAGGCTGGCACTCAATCCACTGAGCCACACCAGCCAGGGCTCTCTCTCTCTGTCTTTTTTTTTTTTTTTTTTGGTTTATTAATAAGATGAATTACATTGATTAATTTTGAAATGTTAAACCAACATTGCATATTTGGGATAAACCCCATCTGGTCATTAAGTATTTTTCTTTTTATATATTGTTGAACCTGACTTAATAAAATTTCACTGAGAATTGTTGCCTCTATATTCCTGAAGGATATTAGTCTGTAGTATTCTTTTCTTGTAATAGCTTTCATTATCAGTATATCAGTATAATACTGGCCTCATAACGTGCAGTGGAAACTATGCCCTCTTTTCCAATTTTCAATAAGAGTTTGTGTAGTGTTGATATTATTTATTCCTTAAACATTAGGTAGAATTTACCAGTGGAGCCATATGAGCCTGGAGTTTTCTTTGTGAAAAGGTTTTTAGCTACAAATTCCATTTCTTTACCAGATACAAGATTATTTAGCTATTTCTTCTTGAGAGAGCTTTGGTAGTTGTGTCTTTTTTGGTCCATTTCATCAAAGTTGCCAAATTTACTAGCATACTGTTGTTCTTAATATTATCTTATTATCCTTTTACTGTCCAAAGAATCTGTAGTGATGTCACCTCTCTCATTCCTGATATTGGTAATTTATCTTCTTTCTTTTTTCCCTAATTAATCTGGCTAAAGCCTTACAAATTTTATTGATCACCTCAGAGAAATAGCTTTTGGTTTCATTGGTTTTCTCTATTACTTTTTTAGTTTTCATTTTACTCATAGCTACTCTAATCTTTATTTTTTTGTTTTCCTTCTTTCACTTTGGGTTTCATTTGCTCTTTCTTCTTTGAATAGTTTCTTAAAGTGAAAACTGTGGTCATTGATTTGAGACCTCCTTTCTTTTCTAATATCAGTATTCCATGTTACAATTTATTCCCTAAGTACTCCTTTAAAGACATTTTACAAAATTTTGTATGTTATGTTTTCATTTTTATCCAGTTCCAATTACTTTTAATTTTTTTTCTTTGACCTATGAATTATTTAGAAGTATGTTAATTGGGTTTCAAATATTGGAGGATTTCCCAGAAATCTTTCTGTTATTGATTTTTAACTTAATTCTATTTTGGTCCAAGAACATATGTTGCATCTGAATTTTCTTTCATTTATTGAGACTTGTTTATGCCCATCTTAGAAAAAGTTTTATGTCCATTTGAAAAGAATGCGTATTCTGATGTTGAGGGAGGCAGTTATTAGGTCAAGTTGGTTGTTAGTGTTTTTTCAGGTCATCTATATCCTTACTTGTTCTATCAATTATTCATAAAGATATATGAAATTTTTTTCCTGTAATTGTTTTTAACAAGCCCTGGGGCGAGTCTGATGCCCACTCCAGGTGGAGACCTAATCCAGGTGTTTCAACTGGAGGCTTCATACTGACTCCTTACATGTCTTCTCATCACAGTTTACACAAGTGTCACACCCGACAAGAAAGTGGAGCCCTCTGCTCTTGCCCCTCCCCTAACCCTACCCCCTATGTCTGAGCAAAATGCTGTGATCAAAGCCATGCTCTTGATCCATGGAGGGCAGGAGGGATCTGGGTGGCTCTGAAAGCCAGTTCTGAAGCTCCCTTGCAGTAGTGGAGGCCACAGTGGGACTCACCTGAGAGAGAGATGAGCAGTGGGTCCCAAAGTCACAGCTTGGCTCCCCGTGGAAGCTCCTTGCACACAAAACTGTCACAAATGTGAGGAGCAAAATGTTCCAGCATCAGGCACAGTTGGGTGCACATCCCAGTTTACCCTACTTCCAGGTTGGGCTGGTTGCTTCACCTCTCCCACATTCACCTGCTCATCCAAGAAGATGGGGATAACAGTGCCTGCCCCCATGGGGGGCCTCTAGAAAGATCAAATCCAATAATTTAAACAAAGAACCAGGAATATAATACAAGCTCTGTAAACAGTAGCTATTACTGCTTTTTTCATTTAGCTGTAGAAGAAAGTAGTGTCAGTGTCAATATTGTTACTCCCCTTCTATAGATGACAGATATTGAGGCATAGAGGAAAAAACAAAGTGCTCAGAGTTACACAGAAACACTTCCTGAAACAGCAGACACCGAGACCCAGCCCATTAGCCAGTGATGGATCTTGCCGGCACCCTCTAATGAGCACATTTCCCAATCCTGAGGCTATGGTCCTAATTTATTCCCAGTAGTTCCAGATTCCCTAGAAAGAAAGTAAATGTTAATTCAGTTACAGTAGTTACCAGCTGGTTCTCTGGTTTATTGCTGTTATTTTTCTAAAGCAAGCATCTGTGGGTAAAGATGTCATTCTCCCTTTACGTTGCTTGAATGAGAAAAGGAATTCCCTTGTGTCCTTGAGGCACAAGACTCCAGCAGTCACTCAGAGGCTCCAGTCACCCTGTGAAAGCCAGGGATTGCCTGGAAAAGTGGGGAGTGAGGAGAGGGGCGTTCTGTGAGCTTGCATAGTGTAGGGGGCTGGAGGCCAAGTGGATAAATCATAAATCACAGGACCACACCCCTCACCTGGGCAAGTGCAGACACAGGGAGGATGTTCCCACACCCAGCATGGAGCCCTGACACACAATCATAGCTGGGCTTTATTTAGCAAACCCACAGCTTTCACCATGTGCCAGGCACTGCTCTGAGGACTTCCCAAGTACTAATTCATTTAATACTCATAAGAGCCCCACAAAGTACTATTGTTATTCCTATTTCACATGTAAGGAAATTGGGAGGTTGCACAGAGAAGTTAAGCAATTTGCCTTGGATCACACAAGTAAATAGCTGAGCCAGGATTTGAATTCAGGCAGTTAGGTTGTGGGGATGGAGTTTAAAAAGGGTTTCCCATGGAGACAACCAAAAATATGTAGTCAAAGCCACATATGGGGTAGCGAACACATAATACAATATAGAGATGATGTATTATAGAATTATAAATCTGAAACCTACATAATTTTATTAACCAATATCACCTCAATAAATTCAATAAATTTAAAAATGCTTCAATAAAATTTTTAAAAACCCACACAAGGTCTAAGTTGGGCAAATCTGAGTATGAACAAAATGAAGAAAGGTTTCAACAGAAATCAGTCACTAACATAGAGAAGTGGGCAAAGGAGGCCTAGCCTAGTGGGTGGGGAAAGGGTAAGTCAAAGTGCTTATGATAGCCCCTCACCTAGAGCAGGACTTCCTGAACAGAAATGTGGGGTCTCAACATCCCTGAGAAGTAGGAGTTACTGTTCCACTGAAGGGATATAGAAACTAAGTTTCAGAGAAATTAAGCAGTCTGCTTAAGTTTACATGGCCAGGAAGTGCAGGCCTGGGACTCAAACCCGGCCTACCCATTTCTACACCCATACTCTTTCCCGGCATCTTTCAGCCCTGCTTCCAGATTTCAGAATTAGAGAATAGAGTGGGCCTTTTTTGTCCCCCTTCTCCGTGTTAGTTAATGATTTCTGTTGAGGCCTATCTTCATTTTGTTCATGCTCAGATTTGCCCAACTCAGTCTGTGTGTGGCTTTGACTATACATGCTTGGTTCTCTCTGTGGGAAACCCACCTTAAACTCCATCCCTATAGCCTAACTGCCTAGGTTCAAATCCTGACTCAGCTACTTACTGGCAGTGTGACCCCAGTAACGTGTATACCAGCCCATGGCACAATGTGTGCTGAATACCTCATGTGTGACAGCTGACTTCCACTGAACAGTTAAAAGAAATCACACCTGGCCAGGATGGGGCAGAAGAGGAGTTACACAGATCTGCTGATCCTTTCTCCCAAGTCATCTCAGGGACAGTTTCATAGGAGTGTGCCAACCTTTCCCTCCCTGACTCTCTCCAACCTATAACCCCTGTCCCAGAAAGAGGATATTGGAACTAGGAGCTCTCTGCTTGACAGGGGCCTTCCCCCACTGCTCCAGACTTGCATTTCCATCCCTCACCAAGGGAGTAAGAACTCTGGGCAGAGCTCCTGCGGCAGCATGTGCATGCCATGGGGACTCAGCCAGGGCCTGAGCTGAGCCTGAAATCTACCTTGAAGAAGAAGCCTGCACCCCTCCTTGACACCCAGTCTTATCAGCCAGTGCCTAGAGGGCTGAGTCCCTAACCCCATGGCCCCACCCTCCCTCTCGAGGAGACCTGACCATAGAAGTCCTTTCCCAGTCATCTCATGTCACCTGTGTTTGTGTTTGTCTCTTTGCTTTAGGGATTTATTTCTCTGCAAGGGATGCAGGTGACCCAACTTCTTCCTGGCCCTGAGGATGTGGGGAAGCACCTCTTTGAGATCAGCCCAGGTAGGCCTGAGCACCTTGCAGCTCTGTGCTAGGGCCGGCCCTGGTGGCCCCAATGGGGGTGTTGCCACATCTTCAGCCTGAGAAGGGCAAAGCTCCTTCATGAAATTCCAGTGCTGTCTCTAAGCATGACTTGGAAATTTGGGCCAAATCTAGAGGATTTTGCAAATTTGGGGGGAATTAAAAAATCCAATTAATCATGTGGGTAATTAGTTTTTGATGGATTTTTAAATTCACTGTAAACACAAGGGAAGAAACCAATCAACTGGGACACCTGAGGGTGAAGGTTCAAACAACAAATCTGGGTCATATACAAATAAGTCACTAGCACCAATTCAGAGCATTAAAATAAGCTTTACCATGAATTCCAAAACAGAATTGCAACGTAGAAGGGAAGAATTTAATCCAAAGAACTGCTATCGTGTTAGTAGTCACAAAATAATTTTTTGACGTTTCCTGTTTTAAAATATGATTGTTATTGAGCTAAGTAAATGTGTTTCGCAGATGGGCCAATCTGTTCACAGAGGGGCCTGGTTCCACAGTCAGGTTGTGTTGTACTCAACCTGACCTCCCCCGAGAACCCCCCATCCCCTGCCCCAGGAAGCAGAACCTGAGAGGGTACCTGAGCAGTTTATTTAGAGGCAATGCCAAAAAGCAAGGAGAAGGGGGCAGGATGGGAAGAGAGCCAAGTAGGCTGTGCTATGAGCTGGCAGCTGCTGTGGTACCCAGACTCAGTTCCAATAGGACTGTGGAGGCTGTGGGGACTGTGGGGAACAGGCCTTAGAGGTGTCTTGCCCAAGGAGCATGGAAGCCAGGGGTATGCACCAGTGATTAATTGCAAGCTACTTCCTGGGGAGCTCACGCTGGCATATCTGGCCTGCCCTGCACATGCACCAAGCTCCATACAGACAGAGAAGGCCTGCAGGGAGAGTTGCAGGTGCTTGAGGAGGTCATCCACATGGATGGGAACAGTTGCCTGAAGGTCTAGGCAGGGCAGCTAGCCATCGTGTCCTATGGGTATACATTAATTTTAAATGTCCTTCTGGGAAGTGGTAGCTATGAATTGACTAGGGCCTCACCGGGGTCTGTGAGGTAAAAAGTTTACAGTTTCAGAGCAGCATGGTCACCCAACCACTCTGAAAAGGTGACCTAGTGTTATAGAACCCCAGCCTATGCTGTTATGGAACAGTTGTGAGGTCCGATTGCCCACCACCACCAAGCATGACAGTAAATGCTAGAGTTTGGTGAAAAGGAAAAAAATTGTTTATTTAAAAGTTTTACAGAATTAAAAACAGCAATAAGATACCACTTCATACCTGTCAGGTGGCCATGATAAATAAATCAACAAACAAGTGCTGGTGAGATTATGGAGGAAAGGGAACCCTAGTGTACTCACTGTTGGCGGGAATGCAGACTGGTGCAGCCACTGTGGAAAGCAGTGTGGAATTTCCTCAAAAAACTAAAAATGGAACTGCCTTTTGACCCAGCAATTCCACTGCTGGGATTATACCCCAAGAATCCCAAATCACCAATTCAAAAGACCTATGCACCCCCATGTTATAGCAGCGTTACTTAAAACAGCCAAGTGTTGGAAGCAACCTAAGTGCCCATCAGTAAATGGGTGAATCAAAAATCTGTGGTACATTCACACAGTGGAATATTACGCAGCAGAAAGAAAGAACTCCTACCTTTCACAACAGCATGGATGGAACTGGAGAATATTATGCTAAGTGAAATAAGCCAGGTAATGAAAGACAAATACCATATGATCTCATCTGGAAGTGGAATAATGAGCAAAACAAACAAATGAGCAAAACAGAAACGGAAGCATGGAAACAAGGAACAGACCGACAGTGAACAGAGGGGATGGGGGAGGGGGAGAAGTGAACATAGGGGAGCAGGGAGGGGGTTAATGGGGAAGAGAAAAGGAAGGGGCAAGCCAAGGAACATGAATAGAAGACTCATGGGCATGGACAATGGGGAGGATTGATTGTGGGAGTGGTGGAGAAGACGGGCAGAGGAGAGCAATGGGGAAAAAGGCAGGACAACTGTAACTGAATAACAATAAAAAGAAAGTTATACAGAATTAGAATATTGGGGGAATTCTGCCATTAAGTCCCTCTCCCTTTAAAACACTCACAAACACACAGTCCTCCCTCCCTTTGCCAAACCAGGCCAGTTTCAGAACACACCAGTCAGAGGCACTGTCTTTCAGAAAAAACAAGTCCACGGCTCAGTATTCCCCATCACAGTTCGGCATTCCAGGTATCTCCCATTAATCTGTGCCTGACTGGGCAGGTCCCCGCAATTCCATCAGCTGTGCTGCCCTGTTCCCCCAGGCAGGTTTCCCAGCCTGTCTCATCTTTCTTTCTCCAGCTCTTAATCCAAAACTTGATGGCATCTCCTTATACCAGACCTCATGGCAGGCTGGTGGGGGCCCTTCTACACCTTTTCAAACCACATACTAACCCTCATGGCTGGCCATCCTAATTTTAAATACTGACCCAGAGCTTCCTACATGACTTCATACTCAGCACTATATGTACTGAAGGTCACAATGGGCTTTACCAGGATAGCAGCATGCACTTGCCCTTGGAATGCAAAGTGCCTTAATCTCCATGTCATCTGCTTCCCCCAACCTCCAAACCATGGATTGTGGGGACTTTGGGGACCTCTCACCCTGTACCCTGTTTCACTGGATTTAGGTTGCCCAACAAGGCATGGATCATCCCAGGCTGGGACCAGCCAGCACCAAGCAGCCCACTGTGAGCCCGCATGAATGAATGCAAGGCTACAGCAGGCCGTGTTCACCTTTGCTCTGTCCACCTTGGGAATTCCAGGGAGTACTGGCTGAAGCTGAAGTGCAGGGAACCCTCCAACTACATGCTCTGCATGTGGACTTCAAGCAACATGGTTTCATTTAGGCACTCCCTACTTGGGCATCCTTCTACTACAAGTACCATGGAAGGCAGTAACAGAGCGATCCCAGGATAAGAAGTGGAAGATTGAGGCTTGGTCAACTGTAGAACAGGGGTAAAGGCTTCTGTAAAGAAGACAGAGAAGAATGAAGGACACAGTGAGGTAGACAGGGCCCTGCCCTCTGGGGGAGGAGGAGTGGGGCACACGCAAGGAAGGCCTCTGGGGGAGGGGCCCTGAACCTGGAGAATGAAAAGGTGGCAATCAACACACCTCAGCCACAAATTCAGAAAGGCAATGAGCATGTGCCCCAAGGACCTGAAAGGGAAAAACCTCCGCTGAGCTTGCTCTTTATCTGGGTCAGAGCTATTTATGAGGATTTCTTGACTCTGGGGGGATGAAGACCCACTTGCCAAATAAGGTAACATTCACAGGTCGCGAGAATTGGGACTTAGACATCTCCATGGGGCCCACAGTACCCAAAACAACTGTCTGAGGTATGCCTATTTTATTTAAAAGGGCACTGGAGGTTAGAAAGGGTAGAAGGCTTGCCCTAGGACACACAACCAGGTAGTAGTAGGTTTAGGGCTCCTACCCAGGCAGTTTGACTTCCAAAGCCATGCACTTAAGCTGCCCTCCAATACAGGTGCAGATTCTAGTGTCTTAACCATCTGGGCCTGGGAGATCTAGGGATGCTGTTATAGGAAGAAAAGTTCCCTGTACCCTTTCATATCAAGCACAGCAGTAGTCTAAGCACCAGATTCTTACAGGTTCAAGGACTGTCATCTCTGCCCTTTTGCCCTATGCACATGCCTGAAGGTCTTGGGCTGGGGTGGTTGGGGAGGCGCCCACAGCTGTGAGGCTACCCAGGGAAAGCAGGCCGGGTGTGGGCAGTAAGGGGTTCAGTCACCCTTTAGGAAACACTAAGGAAGAAAGACTTGCCCTGGTTGGTGTGGCTCAGTGGATTGGGCACCAGCCATGAACCGAAAGTTCTCTGGTTCAGTTCCTGGTCTGGGCACATGCCTGGGTTGCAGGCCATGTCCCTGGTTGGGGGTGTGCGAGAGGCAACTCATCAATCAATTCTCTCGCACATTGATGTTTCTCTCTCTCTCATTCTCCTTCCCCTCCCTTCTCTCTAGAAATGAATAAATAAAATCAAAAGAAAAAAGAAAAAAAAGGAAAGACTCAATAACCTCCTCTGGACTGACTCATCATTCTGGCTGGGGAAGTTCAGGAGTGGGCACATGTCTGCCAACCCCAGTGGCCAGAGCAGGGGAAACTTGATAATGCATAAATAAACTACATGAATTTTAAGTCTTCGTTCTATGACTTAAAATCTGTGACGTTGTGCTCTTCAACAGTATTAAAATATCAGATAGAATTAAAAATGAGGAAAAGTTAAGCTGTGAGTGCCATCTAGTGGAGAGACTGCCAATTCTACAACAGGCCCTGCGTGCCCCGTACCCACCTCCAACCATTTCAGCCAGGCCACACTTCTGACTCTTGCTGGGTCCCCACAATCATTAAGGGGGGAGAAGGGAAAGGCTGCAGCTTAAGCCAGCTCTGATGCTGTCTCTGGGTCAGGCCGGAAGGAGCAAGGCCCCAGGAAGCAGCAGTCATTCAAGGACCCCAAGTCACTTTCCCACCTGGGCCTCTTCTTCTCCCTGGGCAGATAGTTGTTTGCTATAATATTGTGATTTATAGGAAGAAATATTTATTTGATCTTTGTCCTGGTTCCTGGCACAGAACCAGGTCTTTGTCCTGGTTCAGAGGATCTTAAAACCATCTGAATTTCCTACCTGAGGAGAGTGATAAAGGTGTCAATTGCTATGTTAATGAGGTGGCTTGGAAATCACCTAAGGATGGGGGCTGATTGCCAGAGGAGCTAACCTTTTGATTAGAGGGCAGGAATTGTCAGTCCCAAGCCTGACCTCTGGGGAGGGGAGAGGGAATGGAAGTTGATTCAGTCACCAATGGCCAAGGATTTAATCAACCATGCCTCTTTAACAAAGCCTCCATAAAAACCCCAAATGGCCGCATTTGGGGAGTTCCTGGGTTGGTGAACACGTGGAAATTTTGGAAGAGCG